AAAGCCTCATAACCTTGTTTTCCTTTAACTTGATAGTCAAGACTGAAGACTCATATTTCTATAAAAACTTTGCATCAATACAACAAATCGAGAAACTACAAGCAAGATTTAGTATTTTCACCCTTATACAGTGTATACATATGTTGTTGCAGAATCTCAATCAACTCGTGAGCCACTGCATTTCGAATTTCAGCCATATTAGTTGTCTTTGAATGAAATAGTTTGTGTTGCTCACTTGGTTTGGTTACATAACAAATATATGTTTCTTTAATCACCTTAGTATATTTATTCATATTGTTTCTTATATATATATGAATTAATTTTATACTAATTAAAGTTATAAAAATTGGTTTTGGTTCTACTTGCCAGGGAGAGAGAATGTCATCATCTTCGTCTACACAAAACTCATCGACGTGTCCATTTCTCCATTTTTCAAGGAAAGACTGATATAATATGGGGACATGTTATTGAGAGTGTTGATAAAAATGGAAAGAATATTATCTTGTCTTCATTGTGCAAGGTTACTAAGGGTGGAGTATTTCTGAATGAAGTAACACTAGCAGGAGTAAAGAGAGATATTGGAAAGTACCTAAAGGTTCCATTTGAAGTTAAATTCCATATAAATGAAGCACTAAAAGAAATAGGGGTAAAGAAAAAGAAGATTTCCGAGGTACAACCTTATGGTGTTATGTTACATGAATTTGAAGGGGATAAGTTAGATGAAAAGTGAAGAGGTCTTCCTGTCAAATAACCATGAATGAAGGTGTAGTAGTGGCGGTAAAAAACAATGTACAACAATGAGAGAAAAAACTATAGGGATTAGTTTTATTTGCTCCACGAAGTACTCTTAGGTCTCAACCCTCAATTAGGATTGTTTTGACTGGAAAGAAGCAAAGTGGGAGCAGACATGTATTCATGGTTTTTTTACGATGCTTGCATCCTGATGAATGCTTTAAACTCGATTTATTTTCAACCTATGTTGGATGTCGTAGTTGCAATTGGCCTTGAGTATAAACAACCTTCTTATGATGTATGCGTGTGAATTTATTGGGAGATGTAAGAAGGAAGACAATGACTTTGACAATTCAAGAGAATTTGGGAAGAGATTGATGTACATTATTAATGGCTAAGGTTGGACAGATACTTCCCAGGGTCATGATTAATTTTCTCACACCTACTCTAAAGATGTTTGTTTATAAAATCAGTGGAGCTTCAAATGTTGTAAAGGATGCTTTACATTGTTCAAGACTTCAAGTTGCTTGAGATATGGTTTTATGTTGGATCAACCAATATTATCCATGTGTCATAGAATGGAGCAAATTTAAAAGCTACTGGAAAAATGTTATTTGAGAATATGAAACATTACTTGATCACCCTATGTAGCACATTGCATAAATTTAATTTTGAAAGATACAGCTGAGTTGGACCACATAGTGCATCTTGCAAAATGCATCTAAAGTAACCAAGTTTGTATATAATCACACAATGTTGATAGCTTGTTAAGGAAAAGAGAGGTTATAGCTTATAAATCTTTAACTCTGTTCTTGTTAATTCATTACATAATCACACATCTACTATGTATGTATCACTGAACATGGTTAGAAAGAAATCATACAACCGGTGCAACTCGTTTTACTACTACTTTCATTGCATTAAGAAGTCTCCAGAGCACAAACATAACTTAACAGCTATGGTGACGAATAGATTTTTTGTGGACTCTTAACTGCCGAAAGTAAAGGCAAGGATGTTATTCTCTAATTCTAGATAATGAATTTTGGGATGACATGGGTCACTTTCCAAATTGTGGCTCTTTAATGTTTGTTGCAGATTGTAGATTCGGATGAGAGGCCTGCAATAGGATATGCATATGATGCATGTACAGAGCAAAAAAAGCAATCAAAAGTTCTTTAAGAATAAAGACATTGTACAAGCTTTATACCAATTATTAAGCTCATTGGGATAGGCTTTGCCTACACACTTCATGTTGGCTTATTATTTGAATCCAACTTTTTAGTATGTCGCAACTTTCATAAGAAACCAGAGGTCATGTGTTTTCCTTGATGTTGTCGACATAACAAGTGCATTCAAGTTGAACAGTCAAAGTTAGTGATGAAAGTAGAATATATTCAGACCAGGAGGAAAGCTTTTCTCATGAGCTTCCCTTCAAACTTGAAACCACTAACCCGTATGTGATACTTATTAAATTTCCAATTTTAAGTCGATTTCTAAGTTATGTATTATGTTATTCCATATGGTTAACACTTTAACTTTCAATTAGATGAATGGTGGAGGACATATGGGTACAATACTCCACATTTCAAAAGTTTGCAATTAAAATTCTGAGCAAACTTCAAACTCTTCGGGATGTGAGCGAAATTGAGTGTTTTCGAACGCATCCATTCAAAAAGAAAATAATTGGAGCATCAACAGTTCAATGTCCTGTTTTATCCATTATAACTGCGTTTGAAAATAATATAAAGCATGGGCAATTTAATTTTTTTATAATATTTTTATTTAGCGTTCTTTCAAAATGTGTTAAAAAAAGTAGTTGTTGATCTTACCTAATGAAGCATCAACAAAACAAAAATTTGATTGTTGACGATGAACAGGAGGATGATGAATTAATTTAGATGAATTGGAGCAAGCACTTTAGAAGAATGATCATTTCTATTGGTGTTGGTGATCAACCTTACTATGATTCAGAATGTTTCACAAGGTTGTTTTTCAACTTTTAACCAACTTGGTAGCTATTTTAATTATATATTAAAAACAATATACATCATAAGTTTTAACTCATGTTTTTAATTTTTTCTAGATGATGGTTATGATAATAATGATGATGACTCAACGATGATGTGGATAATCAATTTAGGATGGGTGAACGTTAAGATCATTGGAAGAATGAAGTATGTTTTTGTTTAAATTTATGTTATGGAAATGATTCAAATGATATAGGAATTGAGATGGATTATTATATTATTAATGTAGTAATTTAGTCATATTTTCATTCTAACTCTTTTGTTTATTTTAATTCTTTGTAGGAATTGAGATGCATGATACTTGGTAGGACTCAGAGACTTGATTCAATTGAATTTGGGTTCAAATCATTTACTTATGGCTGGTAAATGGTGGTTTGGTTGGTAAATTGATATTTTGTATTTTTTGTTGATTGGTGGATTGATATTTTGTAATTTAATTGTGTGTTGTGTTGGTGATGATATTTGATATTATTTTGTATGCCTTTGATGTTTACTTGAGTATTGATTGTAAACTGTAACTAGTTAAAAATTGTCAAACTTTATGTTTTTATTATTGTTGCAGGGTTTGTTTAATTGTTTTTACAAAATCTTAAATTTGGTTGTGGGGGGGGGGGGGGGGGGGGGGGGTGGGGGGGGGGGCGATGTCAACCACCAATCGGACCGATCCAATCGCCAAAACCGAAACCAAGCCCTTGATGAGTCAAGGCCTAGTCCGTTTCCAAAACATTGGTCACAGCACCCACTGGGTGTTCTGTTGATGAGAGTGTGACCAAGATATGGCTTGTTCAGTGAATTCTTGTGTGAGGAGGAGAGAATAGAGATTGTAAGGATGGAGAAGAGATGGAGTGTGAAAATGATGGATTTGAGCTGAATTTTTTTATTTTTTGACGGTGACCTCTGTTTGAGGTGAAAATAGAAATGGATCGATCTGGTGTGGTTTTGTTGATTTATGTGCGTTTTAGTTGATTGAAACGGAGTTTTTTGTTAATTTTGAGGGTGATCCTTTGTTATGAGGTGAAAAAAGCTTGGTATTTTCTTCTTCCATGAGTTTGGTTGAGTGGAAGACTGAGAGAGAAATGAAACAAAGGTTTTGTTGAGAGAAAGAAGAAAAATAAAAGCTTAAAGAAGCAGACATAGCTAAAGCTAAAGAAGAGGGTCTAAGTTGAAGAGGCCAAGAGGGACAAAGCTGAAGCCATTGAAGAGAAACGGAAAACCAGTGAAGAGAATGAGAAATGCTTAAAGGGTGAAGACTGAAGGGTAAAGAGAATGATATGGGGATTAAAGGTTTTTAAATTTTAAAATGGAAACCATTTCCAGTTAACTAGTTTTATAAACCCTTTAAACCGATAACCAAACGAAAATTCGATTTTCATATTTCTTTGAACTGAAGCCGAACCAATTCGGTTTCTGCATTTTTTTAACACCCATAGGAACACCACTTGTTCAATAAAAGGCCCAAGCCAATTCCGCCGAAGGCTTCCCTCAAAGCCCAACAACATGCACACTCTAACACCATCGAGGATGCCGAAATACGCCAAATTGGCCTAAGACGACAACCACACACGGGTTGCGTTCATTTCAGATTTAATATAGTACAAATAATCACTTTACCCTTTGACTATTACATTAAACAATTTTCTGTTAATTTAAAAGTGAAAATCTAAAATTTACCAAACAGAGGATGAAACTTGCCATTTCACCAAACTTGGGTGGAAACATGTTGTTTACTCTAAAATCAAATCCAAAGAGAGTGGGATATCAATGAAGTGGTGTGGGTACTGAAATTTCCATGTTTATAACCACCTTTTCTAGACTGATTTTACAATCTACAAATTGTCATAAATTTTACCAAAAATCGAAAATATTAATTCTATATAATAAAATATTTTTAATCAGAGGGTAAAGCTATTTTGTCATTTGAAAATTGTCATATTATGCTTTCAAAAATAAGGGTAAAGAAGATTATAAGATTTATATGTAAATAACGCACCAGCGAGTACCATCGTGCATTTGCAGAGGGGAAAATTGATATTTAAATCTACAATACTAACATAATTAACGCGATAACCACTGATATCTGAATCCTTCTAAAAGGTCGGTCCTATAGCCTTGGGAGATCAGAAGAGAATAACAACAATTGCATTGAATTGATCTACTAGACGACTACTCATGTATTTCCATTAAATTCATATACTTACATGAAATCTCAAACTGATGAGATTCCTGAAAATTAATTCAATTTCGACTTGTCACTACAAAATTGTTCGAAGTCACTGCCATTGCCAGAGATATACCTATTGCCTCTTAAATATGGTCTAAGTTGGACATCAAAAGTGGCGATTCATTCGGTCAATATGAACAACAAAATAAAGAAATAAATAAATTTTAAGCTTTGGGTTCTCTCCCTATCTAATATTAAAGTAATACCTCATGGAACTGTAACAGAATTGCCGTTTCTAAATATTGATTTTTTAACATCTAAATGCCGTAGGCTACAATTTGCAGCAACCCTGGGACATCCGGGCAGCCTAACCTACAAGTATCTATCAATCATTCACAACAGCTCAGCCAAAACCCAAAGAATAACACTGTAAAATTGGCGAGCCTCACTACTCTTCAAGGTTCATGGAAACAACTTAACAAGCACTGTGTCCACAGCTCACATAAGTGGGTGGTTCACAGTTCAAAGTTTTGAATACATCCAATAACCACATAAAGCATGCTTACTATAACCAAAACTTTGAAATTTAATATGAGCCAAATTGATTAAGTAGTTTTATTTAGCATCCTTGTGATAGGTCAAGCAACTTACCTGGAGGAGGAAAAACCCGAAGAGCCTATTAAAGAATAGAACAACAATTCCTGTAATCTTGGGATTGCCTTTGTGATAGCAGGTAACCTTCAAGATAATGTGATCTGCTCATCTCATAAGATATCGCTCTTGAATGAGGTCAGTGGTCATTTGTTCACCTAGGTAGATCAAGAACTTGTTTTCTCAAACAACGGTTTTCCTTCTTCGTGTCTGAGTCCGGCCACTTGTCTGTGTTTCTTGAGCTTCTGCTGAATCAGCTGGGAGATCAGATGCCTGATGACCCAATTTCCCCTTTCTCATTCTATTTCTAGAATTTGGGGCTGTAGACTTGTTTCGATAACTTTCCTGAGTCACCAATTTGCTATTCATTATAACCTCCCTGATATGTTCCATATCATGAACAACTGTATTAGATGATTCCACATTTTCAGCTCCATTTCCAGTGGAAAGTCTTCTGCCTCGATTCTTGTTTGACTGAGGCATGAAGGTGCCCTTTTCTGAAGCACTTATGCCCAGTTTAGCATCCACAGGCGATGAATGGTTGAAACTCCAGCGAGCATTCTCAAACCATTTGCTAACCTGAGAAAGGAAAACAACATCCAACAAATGAAAACTCAGATGTCCACTATATTATTCAAACTTCCGAAATGCAACAATGTTTGTTAAAGCAATGAGATAATTTATGACCTGCGAAAAAGTAATTCCAAGCTCGGTTGCTAAAGTTTCTTTTGCTGCACGGTTGGGATATTGATTTTCTTTAAAGGACTTGTAGAGTCTCTGCAGAACAAGCAAACAAATCATCAAATTAGCTCTAACTCTTTCATGTGAGTGCATATGAATGAAAGCGAGAGAGTGAGAGACTCAATCTGGAAACACACAGCAGAATGAAGATGCACTTGAAAATCAAATTAATTATCCTTGCCAATGAGCAACAGCTCAGCACAAAAGTATTTTATAAAGTTTTTTTAAATTAGCCCCAAATGAGAGAGAAAAAAAGACAGAGAAACAGAGAATTCAAACAAGCTTAGGTAGCATAAGATTATGTTTGCACCATCACGAGCCTAATTGGTCAAAAAATTTATTTTCTATACATTTCCTATTTTTATTTTCTCATTTGAATTGAACTAGAATTCCTTATTTAGATGAGCATTTATATTTCCAATTAGATGTTAATTTCCCTTTTAGTTAGGATTCTCATTGCCATAAGGGCGGGCCTTGCTTGTTTCATGATTCCAACATGTTATGATTGATGATTGAACATTGAAATGAATTCTCTCTGAAACTCTTTCTGTGCTTCTCCTCCCTTCCTTTCTCAACTATCTTCGTTTGCTTAGTCTCAATCCGTAATTTCATCACAAAAAAATTACTAATTCAATGGCTAAACTAACACAGACATTAAGTACAAATAGAGAAGTATCTGGAGTGCATCAATCATTGCACTAATGAACTTGATCTGAAAAATATAACTTAAGCAACCTCACAAGAACAAACAAAAAAAAAGAGTTTGGCATCAAAAGGAAGATCTCTTTCTAATTTCTTAAAAGATGCCAAGGAAAAATACACAAGGATATAAAAGAATGCCTTAGGATAAATTGAGATTTAAGATGACAAGAATTAACATAACAATAGAAGACATTCAAGCAGATAAAACACCCAGCTATCTGCACCATGCCTGTATAAGAGTAATATTTTGGGTGAATAAAAAAACCGATTAAACTATTAAAGAGAGAGAGAGAGAGAGAATTACCATAATAGATAACTGTTACGACTTTTATTCTATATTTAAAAAATAAATAACTTTTATTAATGCAATTACATTTCCTGATTTCCAAAAAGGTGAATAAGTTGTCACATAAACTAGGAAGAACTTGCAGGAGTACAAAACAGACATTAACCAATGTTTATTGAGCAGCTTTAAGAAAAATACCAACAAGAAGTTTTGCACTAAATTTGGGGAATTGTTTGAAAGACATGAAGGAAACATATACTGCAACAAGTTCTGCAATAAAGCAAACTGTTTATTGGCCACTAGATCAGTAGCTGCTATTGACCCGATTTCTAGTTCAAATATACTTTTCAGTTCTACATGATCTTAGTAAGTTTCTTCTTTTCTATTCTATTCTATATCAGTAAGTTTCTGCTTTTCTATTCTATTCTATATCAGTAAGTTTCTGCTTTTCTATTCTATTCTATATCAGTAAGTTTCTGCTTTTCTATTCTATTCTATAGTAAGTTTCTGCCTTTTGACCACAAGCTATTGGGAGAATCTACTAAACCTTCACCGCTTCCATACAAATTGCAACAGGAAAATTCCTGACATTTCAACAACATTAAATATTATAAGCTACTATGACCCGTGTAAAAGAAGAGAAAACATAAAATTAAAGGAGTAAACACATACAAAAAACCTATTACCTGAGTCACATCTTCGCCCAATCTTCTATATGATGACCTCTCAGCTTTACCACTAGAACCAGGTGTCGAGGAAACTTCATGTGATTTAGCTGGTGATGTATTTCTATTTTCAGAGTTCACCTTTTGACAAGTTATTCTGTTAGGACATTGTTCAGTCTCTTTTTGGTTTCGTTTCATATCCCTTTTTTGCTTTCCACTCCTAGGGATAGGAGCATTTCCATTTGGTGACACTGGAGAACCTTTTCCAGTCCTCTTCGTCCTTTTTCTTGGCCCATCATCATCAGTCCAATCTATATCATCACTTGAATCAGAAGAAACATTTCCATACGTTTCCTTTCAATATCAGAAATGGTAAACAAAGATCAGAAAACTGAACAGAGAAATGAAATAAACAAACAGGATTAGTTTGACAAAAACACATTGATATCTGAAACACTGTAATTTAAAACTGATAAGATCATGTGAATTAATAGATTTTAAGCATCCTAAGTCCTACAGAATCAGCACAATTGTCTGAAAAGGTAGATTATGCATTGACAAAATATATATTGCACACAACATGCAACATGCAGTTAGATGAAATTAAACACAGTAATGTTTGATTCTACAAGATTACAACAAAGTAGATCTGTATTATCATTGATGTGTTATACAATACATGAGATATATCAGCTATGCATTGAACTTCAAAAACAGTATCACACAGAAATTTCTGAGAATCCACACTAAATTTATTCCATATTTGAATGTTAAACCACCATTAAGTAATCAAGACTGGTCCACGCTTACACACACTCCCACATGCATGGGTAAACAGTCAAAGTTTTCAGGCTTGCCGAATGGGAAAATACAACATGACCAAAGTGATAACATTGACAAAGGTATAAATTTCTTAGAAGGTGTAGATCTTTCAAGAAGCAAAATAAATTATACAAAAACATATTTTATTGTTTCTGCAACCATGAATAACATAGCTAATATAAATTTTTTAATGCATCGCAAGTGATTAAAAATATTCATCAGGGCAAGGTAAGATGGGAAAAAGGAGGTTTATTTTTACAAGAAAAATTGCATATGTTCTTCCATCGAGTAGGTGAAAGAACCTTGGATATGGAAACTTAACAGGAAAGCTAAAATAGATCCATAATGCTAGAAGCAGTGCATACAATTACTAAAAGGTACCATGAGTTGAATGTATACTATAATATCCAGAAAGAAAAAGCAGCAGGTGCATGTTACAGGAGAAGAGAATCATGACATTAAAAAGTAATTTGCAGTGACACTCACATCATATAACTTCTTGTAGTCCAACCTTTCAATACTTCTTTTCTCAGAAGCAGGTCCTAAACCATCTTGCCCCGCCTGTAATATGGATAACAGCTCATTATTTAAAGACTCTTTGTTTCCACCACATTTTGACATCTGCCCATTAGAATCTCCGAGAGGACTGACAGATGTGGCACCTTTATCATTTCCAGAACACCTGTTATCTTCAATAACAGCAGCAAGATCCTCAGAATCAGACGTAAAATCAGAACTTGAAATTTCCTGTGTAATTTTCTCATCAAGTACTGGAGCATCTGGATCATAGTCATCATCCTCTGAATCATCAGAAGGAAGCCCCAAGTACTCGTTATTAGCTAAGGGCTCCAATTCATCAGATGCAGCAGTGAAGTCAGATTCATCAGAACTTGATTCATCTCCCTGATCCTTCTCATCAGTTCGTAGATCATCAGGATTATAATCAGTATCATCAGAATCATCTGAAGGAAGTCCAAAGTTGGGATCTTGATTAGGTCCAGCTGCGGCTGCTTCAGGAAAAACCTTCTGCAGATAAATATAGTAACAAGATGAGGATTGGAGAAGTCAGTAGAATCAGTATTTAACCAATACAGTAGAGACAGAAGGTTTTGACATTGACCTCCCAGTTGTCAGTGATAATAAGATTTGTTCCTTGTGACTCATTGACCAAGTCAATGCAGTCAACTTTGCAATCACATCCAGGGCACAACCAACCCTCATCGTCAGGAGGGACTATAAGCAAAAAGAAACACGTATAAATTGACAAGAAGGAAATAACCCAACAATATCTACTATCAAGTAGGTAATAAGGATATTACTATCTTCTTTTAACAAAGGTGGTTCCAGGCAGACTTGGTGGAATCCGCGATCACAAGCACCATCACATAGTATAATATCATTATCGGTAGACAAGTCTTTGGACCCACATTTTGCACAGAATATCTGCCATAAAAGGATTTCACATGTAAGAATTTAAAACCCCTAGTTACAGATTGTTTATATCCAAAATAACAACTTCATCAGCGAACACTGCATGTAATATTTGAGGAAAAAAGTACTCCTACATCTTCACTGTCAATCTGTCCATCAGAATCAAATAACGATTCTGGAAACTGCCCTTCAGCACAAAGTGAATCAAGACGTTGAAACAAATCTCTAATTTTCAATTTCCGTCGAAGAATTTCAGATGTGGCTCGTTGAAGTTCCTTCTCTGGCTTTAATTTTTCAACACTGCAATGTTACACAAATAGAACACTAAGTGACAAGGTTATATATAAAACCTAGGACTTGCACTATATTTATACTCATCAAAGCATTAAAGACAACACCCAACATTACACAAAAGCATTACATCTCTAGAGTGACACAAGCAAAAGCTTAATATTATCTTCATTTGCCAAAGAAATAAATGCACAAAAAAGAGAACATGGAATTCCAGAGCTGCATTTATACATATATAGTCACATCAATATACTTATAATTTTTCCTATTTCCGCTTCACAGCCAAAGAAAGCATCAAAAAACATAAGAACTAATCGACCAGTGACACAGATTAAAGTTCAAGATAAAAGCATTTGAGAGACACCAACATGATGATGCTTTTACACAAAATTACCAAACATATATAAGGCAAGTAGAAATATGATGCACTTACTTCAATCCTTTCCAGCCTTCCCCAGAATATGCAGAGATCAGACTTCGCTCATAGTTAATTCTGTTCAATAAATATCTTAGATGTGTCCTGATTCTTGAATATTCATCAGCTACTATCTTCTTCTCTCTTCTCTTCTGCTTTATTTTTTTCCCTCCACTAGAACTAACATCAGCCAAGTTATTACTTGGCTCAGGAGCTTTAGGTTTCTCTTGTGACCTTGAGCGAAGAACTCTATCATTGCGTCTTAAAGATCTTAACATATATTTTTTCTTCAATGATTTTGAAGCTTTTTTGCCCTCACGGCCCAAGCAAGTAGAGTTCTTTACCACATCTTTAGGTGGTGTCTCTGAATGACAAGAATTTTTAACCATGTCATCACAAGATGGTTCCAAATGTTCAACAACAGGAACCTTAATAGGATCATCAGGTTCTTTTAAATTTTCAATAGAAGAACTTTGGTTCAGAAGTTCAGAACTAGCTTTACAAATTACTTCTGATTGTTCACAGCTTGTGATTCCAGCGGTCAGCTCCAGTGCCTTTTCTGATGTAGGTTGTTGAGAACATGAATTTTCTCCAGTCTGACTACTCATGTTCACACCTTTAGTGTGACAAATCTTGATGATACCCTCCGCAAGCGATTGCAAAGTTTCATTTACAGCACCATTGGTTATCATGGCATCAGTGTCTGCTGGTTCATTTAGCATGATTTCAGAACCAAGCTGGTGTTTCTGTTCCAATAGTCCACTACGTATAGATTCAGCATTGAAATCATTACACCCATGTCCCGAACCAACCTGAAGTGTCTGTTCAGTATCAGTCTGAATACTGTTGCTCACATTTTCGGCAACCAGTCCCAAGTTTTCATTATCAACAGGACTGCACATGACAGTGCTGGTTTTTTTGAGTTCTTTAAATATGATTTCAGAATCTAAATAAGGCTCTACTTCTAATTGTTCACTGGGTATGCATTCAGCAGCAAATTCATTCTTCTGCTCTGACGGAATTTGCTGAGAGCATGGAACTTTATTTGTTTCACTACTATGGCTCACATCTCCAGAAAATCTCTGGTTAGGATGAATGTTGGTTACTGGAGTGCTAATCTCTTGAGGCTTATTTTGCAATCCTTCAGAATCAGGCAAATCTTGTAGTTTGGGTGGTTCAGTATGTGCACATTCAGCATCAAATTTATTTGTCAGCTCTGATGTAATTTGTGTAGAGCATGAATCATTTCCATTCTGATCATTCACTTGTAATGGGGAAACATCCATGTACTCAGCCTTTGACATGACAAATAGAAGGCTAATATTGGTGTATATTAGCACTTCTATGTGTATGGTGTTTTACTACAACTATGAGACATTCAATTTAAAGAACAAATAAAAGAATATCAATGTTGACCAGAATCGGATTACTAATTTGACTAAAGACTAAAAATACCACAACTCCAGTATGCTATTCGCAAATGTATTTACAGCCATAAATGTGTAACATACCATTCAAAACCAACTTTTTCTTCAAAATTGGCAATGGAAGAACAAAACTCACCCTGTAAAACGAGTACAGACTGTTGCATTATACGCATTACATACACCTGCCCAGGTATATTACATATCAGACAGCTTGATCTAAATAAGTTAATGAAAGTAACATATGAACAATGAATGAGAAACAAACAAATTAATTGATGTATTGACAAACCAGGCCAAATAAGTAATTCTGTACAACATAAGTTGTCCAAATAAAACTAGCCCCAACAGCTTCTCAATAACCATATTAAGCATATAAGAAAAAATTGACAGTTCAATAAATCTTTTCCGTGTAGATAAATTCACATAAAGCTGTAAGAGAAGTCGAAGAATAGCAACTTGTACTCATTGGTAAACAGCATGCTACCAAATAAACGACAATGTCATTCAAACTTAATATACATAGCCTGGAAGATATGTATACTAGACCGAGGACAAAAAAGTGAGAATTGAATAGAGGCAAATCATCATATGCTCTTCAAGTTAATACCCTGACCACATGTGCCTAAAACATAATCAACATCTACTTATTTTGCACACCAGATTCTAAACCAAGAACTACCTCAAAATGGATGCACAATGCAAAATCAGTCTTAAGAAACACTGCTTCTGTTTGTGCAAATCCATGCCACCAAAAAGAACCACAATATATACATGAGGATAATAGTTTCCAAAAGAAACGGCAAAGAAAGAAGGTGTTCTACAAGCCTAGTAAAACAAAGACCACATAAATGGACCTTGGCCATAACAATCCGGAATCAACACACTTTTTTTTTTTTAAAGATACTGTTCGTTGATAACTAAATCATCACTTCATTCATACAGCCATCTCAAGGGTATGAAATGCCCAACTTTAGGAGAGTTCCTAATGACAATTAGGATGAACATTATACAGAAGTATTAGAGAACAAAAATAGCATAATAAGCGACACAAAAATAAATAACTAGTCATATTAAAAACACCGAATAATATACCATGTAGCATTATTGCCCCAGTCAATGAGAAAGGAGAAAAAAAATGCCCCCTCTAAACTGCAGAGAAAGGAGAAAGGAGAAATGCACACTTCCTATACTCATAACTGCTCTTCAGCCGCAAGTGCCAAAAACAGGTGTATTATCTGGCAACATTACTATCATACATTGAATTTCATAAATTTCACTTCACCTACACTCTAAAATCATTTTCCAACTCATGCACGGGACAAGCATACATTTACCACAAAGTTCAGCCATAGAGAGAATGTGAGGGAAAAAACTAGCTAATAACGATTGGCTCTTACATGATTTTCTTAGGTAATGCAACAAATAGAATGAGAAAGAGAATTACACATTTGAGGTCATTCATTTTTTTTTTAATTTTTTTCACAGCCTTCTCGGCAACCAAACAAAGGCGAAAGATTAATAATAACAAAACAGAAATTAAATCACAGAGCTTTCAGCTTACTAGAAATTGAAACATTTTCACTTTACAGCAACAACAAAGCATGAAATTGAGAACACTAGCTTATATTCTTTAACTATCTCTTATTTTATCTTCTATTAATCGTTCAGAAAAATTTAACCGAAACAAACAAAATGAGAACCGTTTTGCTAAGAGAAAAGAAAATGACTGACCTGAGCTTTGTTCTTGAATCTCGTAGTTTCGGAGAATGTTAAGGAAGAAAAAATTGAGAGAAGAAGAGAGACTGTTTCTTATTGAGCACCGACGAAGATGTATTTATTTTAGAAGAAAAAAGCGGTTCTTACAGTAGAGAAAGCCTCTAAATCTGGGCCACCGTCGAGGATTGGCGGATTGGCAGAAAGAGCGAGAGAGAGAGAGAGAGTGAAAGAGAGAGAAAGCGTGTGAGGGCTTCGAGTTCTGCTATTTTTACGCTTGCGGCGTAGAGTTCCAGATTATTAATGGGCTGGGCCTATTCTTTATTATCCTTTTCTACCACCACTTTTTATTTCTTTCTCTTCGTCTTATGAGTCATAATAAGTATTTTTAGTAATATCTTTATCGGTATAAATCAAACCAATATTTAACATTAAATTCAATTTAATCTTCACTGATTTAGATCAATTTCAAATAAATTAAAATCTAATTATTTAGGATTATTAGCAACATTTCCTTCTTCATTCTTCACAATATTTTTTTTATGTCACACTATTTATTTTTTTTTTTTAGGTAACTAAGTATATTGACCCACATTGGAGCCTACATAATCCTCAGGACTACAGAACACCCTACAAACTTAATGAACAAAGATAATTGTACAAATCTGATAGGTACATTTTATGCGACTCGAACACAAAACCTCTTATATATAGCTAACCCTAATGACTAAAGAGTTTATCATCCGATCACAGAATGAGAGGTCTTAATATTAATTTTTTAATGACCATACTTGAGTATCATGGCATTTTGGTATAATTAATGTGAAGATGTCTCCTTGCTAAGGACTTATTGTATGTTCCTTCCAACCCAATTAAGAAAATTTTCTAACTTGCATCAAAACTGGGCCGGTCAATTTGGGCCAGAACAAATGCATGAGAAAAATTCTCGAATGGTCAACGATGGTGTATTCAGAAAAATAAAAGCCCATTAGCCTAAGCCCAACTACTTTGTTGTTTTACACCAGAACACGATTTGACCCAGAAAAAGAGATAACCCGACTGTGCGGATCAATCTTGGGTCGAAACCTGCATTATTGTGCTAAATTACAGTTTAGGCCTTGGGTTTAGGTTCATACTCGAGGAAAAAAAATGAAGACAATTTCGAAAATTCAAAATCACATCAAAGTTAATTGGTTTGATTTGATGAAGACTATAACTATTAAAATTAAAATGTTTGACTAGAATATGTGTTTTAACTAATTGTGGAATTATACAAATTGAGACAATCATAAAGAAGTCTCGATAGTTCTCAAATTTGTTAGTGTATACTCTTGTTACACTAAAGTCTTCATTATTTTATAATTCATCTTAAAATACATATATAAAGTTATTACATAAAAGTAATTTTTCTTATCCATCTTATAAACACATGAACATGAATAAAGATGTTTCATAATGGATCAACCATGACATAAGTATAACTCCAAGGGGTTGCCTTAGCAGTCAAAAAAGTTTGCTCCATTTATTGACTTTCTGAATTCAAACCTTGAGATCACTAATCACATGTGTGACTTACCTGTCTTGAGGATTAGTTGATTTGTGACTTACCCACCTGTCTTAGTGATTAATCTATTTATGACTTACCTTAGAATATTAAGTTTGTAAAATATTTAATAGGCCTCAAAGATTATATTATAAGTCAATCCAACAAAATGATACTCATGTCAGAATATCATTTAATTAAAACAAAAAAAAAAAAAATTAGGGGGTGGTGTTGGATTGAAGTCCCAATGATTAATCCATTTGTGGCGTAGCTTGGAATATTAGATTTGTAAAGTATTCAATGGGTCTAAGAGATTATATTATAAGCCAACCCAACATAATGATACTCATTTCAAAATATCATTTAATTGAAATACAAAAAAAAAATTTAGGTGATGGTGTCAAATTAAATTTTGGCCACGAAATCAATCAAAGTGTGCCCAAAAAAATCAAAACCTTAACTGTTGTAAGGTTGTGTTGGTAAGATTTCAAACTTGAAGGGCTTGATTTATTTTTAGGGTTGTTTTTGCAGCGTGGGACCCAACGACTTGGCCGGGTGGCACCGCAGGTCAGGTTCTAGAACATTGGTAATTATAACTTGGTTAAAAAAGTTTGGATATGTTATTCTCATGGACAGTGAGCCAGTACAATAATAAACCAAAGTCCTTCTGGTGTCCACCACGAGTAAATCTCTCTTAATAATTTATTAATCCTAATTAATTTGTAACTGTGGTTCACGTTGCTCAATTACCAAGTTTTATTTTATTTCATCCTTTTTTTTTTTAATAAAATAAAAACGAAAAGTATACAAGTTGAATGCTGTTTGTTTTACTAAAACTGAGGGAAGGGAAGTCAAAGAACAAAGTGTAGGGAAGTTTCACAGCAGATCACAGAAAAGCAGAAGTCCTCAGTCCTCACTTTACTCTTCCAGTCTTGATTGGTAAACTTGAGTCTTCAGTCAAAACCACAAAATTAGCTATAACACAATTGACTGTAAAAGCTACTAAATAATTAATTCAACATTGGGATTTTAATTAATTTAGTTTCACGTGGAGGATGGTTCCTTGGTCCTTCACGTGCAACTGCAAAATAAGATTTTACTAATATAATTAGATAGAGAAGACAAGTGTTGAGTCATGCATGGACTTTCGGGTTCAAAACGTGATGCAAAATACGCACCGTGCCGCTTCTCACTTTCCTTTACCTTTCCTTTTAATACAACACGTTGCTTCCACATTCTCGCCATAATTTTCTTTTTTCCTTTCCTCTTCCCATTTACATTAATTTAAGTATATAAATAAGAGGGAAAATGGCAAGGTTTAAAAACCCAGCCCAGGGAAAACCTGATAAAGTGGCTGGGACCCTGGTTAACCAGTTGAACTGGTGGGTCAAATTGGTGATGTTAGGATGTAAAAAAGTTTTAAATCTAGCAAAAACACCGTTAAAAATTAGTAAGTCCTTATAAGTTTAAAATCCTACAAAAAAACCCAAATGCAAATCAGTGATCAACAACCCAAGCAAAAAACGGCTTGTTTCTAGCATCGATAACACTCCTCATCACCACGAAAACTGATAGAATTTGAGGTGAGTTTGACTCCTCATCCAATAAGGTCTTGTTGAATGGGAGGATTACCTCATTTTATAACCCAATAGGCTTGAGCGTACTCAGTCGGTGTGGGACTCTAACACTCCCCCTCACAATCAAGCCCATATGTTGAATCATGTCTATTAATGGAGGTAGTTGCTGACTCTAACTCTTCACCCGTTAGTCAAGTGCTCAGCTCAACTGAACCTAGGCTTTAATACTATGATAGAATTTGAGTTGGACTTGACTCCTGAGGTGAGGAGTCAGGCCCACCTCAAATTCTATCAAAAACACCCCCTCAGTCTCCTAACTAAAATCCATCTCACCCCACCCATGTTCGCCTTGATAATCGGCGACAACATTCGTTGTTGCCACTGCAGGATTTTTGCGATTTTCGGTCATTTCATTCACCGAAAATCGCCTTTGTTGCCACCTTTATATTCACTAGACCTTCCTCTTCAAAACCCCAAACATGTTAGCCACCAATTGCTCAACGATTGTCATCCTTAATCGCCAACGAGCCGCCATGCATTTTTGCAATTTCCAGTCGTTTCACCCATCAGAAATCGCCTCCATCACCATCTTTCGACTCATTGACCCTATTCTTCAAAACCCTTGACATCCCAGCTACCAATTGCTCGCCGATAATCATCCTCCTCTCTAGGGTTTTCTATGAATAGTGAAAATTGGTAACCCAACCCAGTGAAGGCCCTAGGTCCCGGTTGAACCGGTACAACCAACCGGGCCGGCTCGGGTTTAAAAAATGGAATACAATAGAAGTAGAATCTCTTGGTAAAGCTCTTACAATTATATGATTTATTTTAATTTGATAACTAAACAACCAACAATTTTGTGATAAAATCTTTATTTTGATGAGTTATATTTACAAAATCATACCAAACACATGGTTTTACCTTTTTGTATTGATAGGATCGGATTTCCTTAATCTCTTAATAATTATATAGTTGGTGAGAAAATCAATTAAATTAAATTAAGTTAATCATCCCCATGTGTATGTTTTGTAGAGGCCTAAAGGCTAAAACTAAAAGTAAAATTAAAGTTGGTATGATTGTTCCGTACACTTATGGCAACAATTTGAATGTGAACGTGATCTGCCTACCTTCTTGTTTTTTCATCTTTTCCAAGCCTCTCCTTTCTAAATTCTAATGTCATCTTTTCAATGGGTTTAGTACTTTAGTTTCTATGATGTTTTTGTTATAACATTACAAACATTTTGTGTTTATGTGATGGTTTCTATTATAAGTAACAATATGATTACGATATTATTATTTGAGAAGGGTATCATCATTCAAATGATACTTCTAATTTTAATCTCAAAAAAAATAATACAAATTTTATTTATATCAATATACGAATTGCTTTTATTGTTTAAAACACATTTTTCTATTAATAAACTAAAACTTCTTTACACTTTTTGTTAGTAAACAAATACTTATTCCAACACATTTTATAAGAGTTAACGGTTTTTTTCTCACTCAAATAAAGGTTTAATGACATTTTTCCACCTATTGACTTTTAAAATATCATTTTACTACTTAAATTTATATTTATTATCTAAAACATTCAGCAGCAAATGGAGAGCAAACACAGTCTAAGTTGTTGAAACTTTTTTGAAGAGGTGAGGTTGTTGAGTCTTTTGGTGGTCATAATTGGCCGAAATTTGACTTGAGAGGGACAGATATGCAAACCTTAAACGCTCAATTATCGGTGAGAACAAGGTCTAAGGGGTTTTGGTGAACGATGATCGTGGAAGAGAATGGTGGTGGTTTGACGTAACAACGCTGTCAAAATTGGCCAATGAACACAATACCACCATTATTTGAATAATATTATAGTATTTTAAAATTTTACGGCGTAAGAAAGTGTGATTAAGTCATTATTTGAGTGAAAAAAGTTAAGTTTACTCCATTTTATAGAGTCATAAAAATACAACTTGAGCCATTTTTCTTTTAATTCTTTAAAAAAGTGTCTTAAAACCAACAATATCCCCTCAAATAATAATATAATATAATTCAAATTACAATACCCGAAAAAAAATTCCCTATATTAAGGGATATCAGCCCGATAAACTTGATATGATTTGACTAGTAATTGCTCATTAATAACCATAGAATAATGGTGTTCAAA